TGACTCTAATTTTTGCTAGGCATGGTGTGTGCCTTTAATCCCAGCTACTAGGGAGGCTGAGGCAGGTGGATCACAAGCTTGAGTATTGCCTGGTAATTTAGTGAGATGGTGTCTCAAAATTTTAAAAAGAGGAGGGGGCTACACAGAAGGACAGTGGTGGAGTGCCCTGGATTCTATTCCCAGTACCACAAAGAGAAAAAGAAAAGAAAAGAGTCCACATTTCCAGCCCTTTATATTTTTATTTTGAGACTGGGCCTTAACTAAGCTGCCCAGGTTGGGCTTGAATTAGTGATCCTCAGTCTCCCAGAGTGCTGGGATTAGAGTGTCAGTACTTTTTCTTACTGCTAATTTCAGAATCCTGCTATTTTGGAGAATTCTGGTTTTGTTTTGTTTTGTTTTCCATTTCTATCAAACATGTACAGTACTATGAAGATAAATTGGTTCAGAAAGTTACTCTTTCACGTCTTTATGAGGTATGATAAAAAAAACATCAGTGAATGCTACTGCCAAATGTCATCCAATGGAAACCCAGGCTTGGAAAGACATTATGGTGTGTTCTCATCCACCTTATTTCCCAGATCTGGCATTGTGTGACTTCTGGCTCTTCCCCAAAGTCAAAATGACCATGAAAGGGAAATGTTTTCAGTCAATTCAGGACATCAGGGCAGCCATGACAGTGCAACTAAAGATACTCATGAAAGAAGTCTCCCAGAAGTACTTCAGAAAGTGGCACAAACCATGGGACAAGTGTGTTCAAAGAAAGGGGGAGGATTTTGAGGCCTGTTCTTGGCAATGTGTCTTTTACTGTAGTGAGTTTTTAAAATGGTTTGACACTCACTATATTTTTTGATCACTACTACTTTGAGTGAAAATATGGGTGACAGTCCCTTGTCTCAGCCCAGGGTCACAGGGACACATCTCCACTCACGGTGCATATTTCTCTTTGATTCAGAGGAAGGAGGTCAGAGTTTCGGCCAGAGGAAGAAGGTATTTGTGAGCTCCTCTGGGAAGCACCGGTCACCAACTCACCCCTCACCTGTCCTGGATGGCCCCCAACCAGCAGGGGGCTCCTCAAGGTCCAGGCTGGTGTTGGTCCCCAAGAGACCATGTGCTCCCCAAACAAGGCAAGAGAGTGGTTTCCAGAGGGAACAGGATGTGTTCCATTAAGCTTTTTCTTAGGAGCATTGTCAGATCCTGGCTGCAGTGGAGACAGGAGGACATTCAATGTCGGCCACACTCTTTGTAGCTTTGCTCAGGGTCCTCCTCAAACCCTACACACCTTGGCCCACACAGGAAATTAGTAAGTAGGTTGACAAATTTCATTTCTGGCTGCCTACTGCTGTTATTATTATAGCTGTTGTTTTGCAGTGGTGGGGATGGAACCCAGGGTCTCCTATATCCCCAGCCCTTTCTATTTTTTATTTTGAGACAGGGTCTCGCTAAGTTGCCAGGTTTTAGTCCCTGACAAAATTGAGACGTACACCTCCTCCTTCCTTCTGCTTTGGGTGTCAAGAACTCTGAAGATCCAGCTGCTTCTGCGGCATCCCAAACTAAATGTGTCCAAACCCCAGCTCTTTTTTTTTTCTTCAGTACTTGGGATTGAACCCAGGGCCTTGCACATGCTCAGCAAGTGCTCTATCACTGAGCTACAGTCCTAACCCTTTTTTAAATTTTATTTTGAGCCAGGCATGTTGGTGAATGCCTGTAATCCCAGCACTCAGAAGGCTGAGGAAGGAGGATCTCCAAAAGTTCAAGGCCAGCCTAGGCTACATATTGAGTTCAAGGCCAGCTTGAAATACATAGCAAGACCCTGTCTCAAAAACCTAAATAAATTTTATTTTGAGACAGGATCTTGCTAAGTTGCCCAGGCTGGCCCTGAACTTGTGAGCCTCCTGCCTCAGCCTGCCAAGTAGCTGGGATCACAGGTGTGTGTCACCACACCCTGGTTCCAAGCTGGGTTCTTGATTCTCCTTGGAAGCAGCTCTCCCTGGTTGGATCAGGAGGCAGATCACTGCCTCTTCCTCTGAGCCCCCAGCTCCACCCATGACTGTCTCCAATGTCTCCCAGACCTTTCTGCTTGGTCTCTGGGCCACCCTGTCCAGGACACACTCCTATCCTAAGATGGCATAACAGCTTCCTGCTTCCACATTTACCCTCACAAAATCACCCGTCACAGCAGCCAGAGTAATTAAAAAAAAAAAAAACCAGAAATACAGTGATGTCATTCATCTGTATAAAATTTGCTGTTTCCTGTAGGACAGTCAGAGTCTAAACAGAAAAACAAAAGCGAGTTCAACATGGTGAGCCAAGGGAGTTTAAGTGGGGAATTGTTTGCACAGGCGTGAGGCAATCTGGAGCAACTCCGCGACACCAGCGAGAATCCTGTGTCACCTTGGGCCACAGGAGGCCAGATTCCTTGCTCTGGCCACCTAGCAGGTGCCTGCATTAAGTGCTCAGTGGGCGTTTGTGGTGGGTGGAGGGGTAAAGGATAAAAGTTGCCCTTTCCCATTGGACACTTCCCTTCCGGCACATGGGGGGCCCAAGGTGCCCTCACCTGGGACCTGCCTTCCCTCTGCAGTGGCCCTTCCCACCTGGGCCTCTATCTGAGGGCTCCATGTCCTAGCCATATGCGCTGGACAGCTTCCAACTCTTAGGCAGCAAAAGATAGTCCTAACTGCAGCTGCCTCTTACATTGCCTTGAAGGATTCTGGAGGCACCTGTGTACAGTGAGAGGGCAGGGCTGTGCTAAAGGCATAGAACAAGGGTAAACTGGAAAAGAGTGGGAGGCCTTATCCCTTGGGTGGCACTGCAGTGGCCTGAGCTCCACTTTGCAGGAAGCGTGCGCACTCTGGGGAACTCTGCGGCAGGACCTCGGGCTTTGAGGAGTGAGCCTCTCAGAGCTGCACGCCATGGGGTGGCACTGTTCACTAGCCATTGGCCTGGGCCTCGCAGAGAGCAGTGCGGGAGCCCTTAGCTTCCCGCAGGGCCCTCTCCTCTCTCCTGAGTGCGGCTGCGCTGGCAGGGACTAGGGAGCCTATGCTGGAGAGCCTTGAGTTTCAATTGCAAAAGCCACATTGTTGTGGTTTTGACTACACGCTTTAGAAATTCATTCCAGCAGACAGAGTGGCTGCAGAAGAGATCACTGAGAAGTCTTTCATTTAGTCAGTTTCATCAATCTGTGTTTTGGAAATGCAGGGAATGTGATTTAAAAAAAACAAAGTTGCAAGCTAAGTACGGTGGTCCAGACCAGTAATCTCAGTGCTCTGGGAACCTGAGGCAGGAGGATTGCAAATTTGGGCTCAGCTTGGGTGATTTAGGGAGACATTGTCTCAAAATAAAAAATTTTAAAAGGGCTGAATTAAGATGTGTCATGTACATATACCAATTCCCCATGATGAATGTAATAATTATGGATTACAAACATGAATGAATAAAAGTAAAAATTAAAAAATAAAAAGGGCTAGAGATGTAACTCAGTAGTAGAATTCTCCTGGGTTTGATCCCCTTTACCCAAAAATAAAAATTAAAAAGATAAAAAATAAAAAGGGGTAGGAATGTGACTCAGTGAAAAGGCCCTGTGTCCAATCCCCATACCACAAAAAAGTAAAAATTAACAGGTGAAATTAACAGTAATAGTATATTTTATTAAACCCAATATATCCAACAACTTACCATTTTAACATGTAATTAACATAACAATTATTAATATCTCATTTTTTTCATAGTAAATGTCAGAAATCTAGTGTATGTTTCACACTTACAGCAGATCTTTACTAGGATTCATCGCATCTGAAGTCTACATGTGGCTGACAGCCACAAGACTGTACATCCCAAATCTAGATAGCATCCAGGAAGGCCAGTTAGAGCAACCACAAAAAATCTAAACAAAACAAATTAGCTGAAAACAAGCTGAACAGAATCAATATGGGCTTCTTTGAAAGACGTGGAAAGAAAAAATTGTCTGAGAATTAAAGGCAGCCAGGGCAGGAGCTGTATAGCTCAGTGCAAAGGTCCTGGATTCAATCCCCAGCACGATGTGAACACAAAGACAAATCAAGTTGCACCCCTGCGGCGTTTCTCGAGTGAGTCAGATGCCTCAACCTGTCCAGAGGACCAGAGACTGTTACCCTGTGTGGTCCTGGACATCCAGCTGCTCAGCTCTAACTTTGCCTGGAGTCCACATCAGACCCCTCCTAGAGTCCAAGCAGAACCCCAGGTTGCTACTTCGGGGAGGGAGATGTCCAGCTTAGAGATATTCTTTATGTTAGACACATTTGGGGGAAGAGATGCTTTTGACTGGGGAACAGTTTACTTAAACATCGGCACAATTCCTACCTCCAGTGAGCCCCACCCTTGGTGCCTGGCTCCTGAGCACCTCCCTCCACCCAGCCTTCATGGTCACTCTGCCAGGACAGAGTGGGCTGACCTTAAAGAAACAGAAGCCCAGAGTTGCTGGGGCACTTGCCAGAGCGTCTACCTAAAGGGGAGCAGGGACAGAATTCCTGCCCAGCTGCCCTTCCCTACAGCCAGAATTTCACAGTGCACACTGACTGTCATGGCCTGTGTCTAGATGATCCCCCACCCCGAAAGCCTCATGTGGTCATAGGTGGGGCTTTTTCAGAGGTGGTTGGATCTAGAGCATGTGATGCAGGTTGGTTTTTTTGTTTTTTGGTACTGGGGATCGAACTCGGGTATTCGCACTTGCGAGGCAGGGGGCAGAACCACTGAGCTAAATCCCCAGCCCAGGTGTGTGATGCTGGGATTGATTCTTGGTGCAAAGGCACTAGGATTAAGGGTGTGAGTGCCACCTGCCCTAAGTAGTCTGGATAAGATAAAAGGGGCAGAAAGATGCTGTTAAGGTCACTTGTTGCCTTTGCTGTCTCCTGCCCGCCCTGAACTGTTCCTCCTCTGTGATGTCCCTCTGCCACGTGCTACTCTGCCTTAGAGCCAGCCGACTATGGACTGAAACCTCTACAAACCATGAGCTAAATAAACCTTTCCTCCTTTAACTTTAGGTGTTGGGTATTTTGTCTCAGCAAAGAGAGAAAAGTAACTAAGACACTGACCAAACCAAGAAATCCTCACTACTGGAGGAAATTTGTCTCCTTGGCAGCACATGGCACCTTCCTTAGTTTGTAGAACCAGATTCATGTCCATCTTTGTGTCTACTCATCATTTTCTACAACCTTCAAAGGGGTTTGGTTGACATTGCCTGGCTCCCTCCTCCCAAGGGAGCTTCTCCTGGGGCTGGAGAACTGATGGGGGCAGCGGGGTGTTAAAATCCCACAGAACCCTTCACAGCTCACGTATGACTTCATATCAGTAACAAAACTCTCCCTCCTGCCTCCCGCACACAGTCCTGCCACAGCCATGTTGGTCCATGTGCCTCTCATGTGACTGCTTTCTTCGTGACACAGACTCAGAGCAGAATTGCTCCCGGGTGAGGCCTGCACTTGTACCCAGACGCCAAGACTCATGCTCCCCCTTTTGAACCAGAACACCCCATCTTAAGTGACTATTTTTATTTTCTGTCTCTCCCTAAAACATTAAATCCTGTATAATCAGAAGCATTGTCCTATTCCCCATGTCAATCGATAGTCATTAAATTAACCATTAAACTAGCTATTCTTAAATCAATGAAAGGAAAATATACCAAAGACCTCACTACTTGCAAAGAAAATAATGCCTGCTGATTATTTTTAAAGAAATGTCCAAAACACAAGTGCATACATAAATTCCTTTCAAGATAGAGGGAGACTATATAAATAGCTCAGTTTTTTTCCTGCAGTCCTAGATGTGTAGCCAATTTGTGGGGAGCCAAAAATCCCAAACTGTCTTCAAATCTCACCAACAAAAGAAGGCCCGCCAGATAACTTTCATCGGCCGCCAGCTTGACGAGGCTGGGTCATACAGCGACGTGGCACCATCTGCCCGACGGAACCCCACCAGAGGTGGCAAATTTCGGCCGGCTCTCTCCTCTTGCTGAAGCTCTTCGTCTGGAGAAAGGACAACAGGACCAGGCTTTCTTGAGCGTTGGAAAGGGAGTTTGGAGCGATGACTTCTAACCCAACACAGAGCACCAACTAAGGTTGTAAAATGAGCACCACAATCCTTGTAATGAGGGAGAGAATTACAGTTACCCATAAATATTTATGCACTAACAACAGCTTACACCTTATGTACGTGTAATATACAAGACATCTGCCACCAAGGCCAAAACACAGATCCATAGTGCAATCGCAGATGTACCTAACAGTTATTTCTTAGAAAGAAAAGTTGTGTTTTTAAAGAGAAGTTAGGTCTGGGGACTTATTTTCTTCTAAATTCCTCACTTCCCAAAACTGTCCTCCTGTAAGAGCTCAGGGGAAGCCCCCAGCCCCACAAATTCTGAACACATCCTTTCCTATTAGAGATGTGGGCTGAGTTGTCCCCAGCATCATGGGTGGCAGCCCACCAACCGCGGCCCTGAGAGTGTGCTGAGCTCCATAGCCCTCGCCCACCCGGCGTCTGCTGGGCCTTGAGCTCCAGGAAGACTCCTCGCTCTCTTCTGGAGTGTGGCTGGCAGTGTTCCCACCTGCCACGGGATTCCCGTCGGAAGTGCATCTCCCTCCTGTTGTTTTGGGTTGTTGTCTACACAGCACTCCACATACATATGGCTCGCAGAAGCAATTAGGTAAAGACGCCTGCCAGACTCCCATCCCAGGGAGCCAGAGACTCTACACCACACGGGGCATGTGCGCAAGGAGGAAGATTCTACTGGGGAGTTTTGCTTTGTGGCTTTTTAAGATTGATTTTTAATCCCAGCTAACAAAAACCAGGAGGCCTCTGAGCAAAGCTGTGAGCGGAAGATTTTCAACTGGTACCAACAGACACGATGTTGCCACACAGGCCTCAGTACTCACTGTCTGTCCTTTGGAAACAACCTGCACCTCACCGCTGGGTGCATCTTTACTGGTACAAAAGCAAGAGGGAAGCCAGATGGAGTGGCACAGGCCTGTGGTCCCAGCACTCTGGGAGTCTGAGACAGGAGGATTGCAAGTTCAAGGCCAACCTGGACAGCTCAGCAACTCAGCAAGACCCTGTCTCAGAATTTAAAAATAAAGGAGTTTGAGGCCATCTACAGCTCCACTGGCCATTTGCACTGTGACAATGTGTTTGAAAGTGGATTGTGTGTGTCTGATGGCGGCTACAAGCTGACAAATTCCTTCTCTCCTGCCCCTACCAGAAGCCGCCAGCACTGTGCCAAATGTGATTACTACATGGGGAACCTAGTCTTCTTAATTTTGGTCCTGATGCAAAAAGAACAGAATTCTGCTGATGTGAAGTTTTGGAACAGCAGAGTCTGTACTGGAGCATGATCAAAGTAAGACAGCCTTTATTTCCTGAAAGTTGGCTCAACAGACCATTGAATGTGATTAATTAATTTTTGAAAATTTGAATGAGACATATTTGTGAAGAAGGGGTTGTAGAAGATAAAAAAGTAAAGTTGTACTCAGCCTGAAGGGCCAGCAACACAGCCTGTCCAAGGTGTGAAGGCCCATGCCATGGGCCCCAGAGGGTCAGGAAATGTGTGTAAGTCACAGTCGCGAAGGGCCAGTAGTGGGAACACCCGCCAAGTTCAAATGGGAGCTCTGATAGCATAGGCTCAGGGGCAGAGAGCACTGAATATGATTTTGGTAGGGATTCAGGCTAAGTGTTACAGAATTCTTCTTAATATTCAGGTTTATCAAGTCGTTTGCTCTGACCTCCAAAACGGTAAATACAAACATAAAGTAAACAGCATCAAGCTGGCCAAAAGCCCCAGGAGAATGGGACTCTGCTTAGTTTTTTGTCTCAATCTCCCAGCCTGCTCAGCCAGAAAGGGCTGGACAAAAGCCGAGGGAGAGGACCTGCATGTTATCACAACTCCACTCTGCAGCTGCTAGGCGGAGCTGGGGCTGTGTGTGCGTGTGTGTGTGTGTGTGTGTGTGTGTGTAGCGAAGGACAGCAGAGAACAATGCTGACCCCTAACTCATTCTCAGGATTTTTTTTTCTGGGCTTTGTGATGAGCTGAACACTTATTTTGGCAAATTCCAAAAGTAGTCAATGTTATCAGGAAATCCCCAGGATTGCCTGGGCTCAGTGGACTGGGTGGATCCAGGTCCTCACTGCCATTTAACATGATGATTTGGTGCTAGGAGTGTACCTCTGTGCTAGTTAGCTAGCCTAGCATGCCTGAGACCCCTGGATTCAATCCTCACCATTGCAAAAATTAAGATAAAATAAAATGGAGCCTGACATGGTGGCGCATGCCTGTAATCCTAGCCCTCAGAAGGCTGAGGTAGAAGGATTGTCTTGAGTTCAAGGCCAGCCTGAACTACATGGTGACAACCTGTCTCAAAAGACCAAAAACAAACAAAATAAAATGACTTGCAGAATCTCTCACAGACAGCATAGCTGCAGGAACACTCCGTTGTGCACTTTGAAGAAAGATATACCAAACCAGCTTCATCTCAAACACTCGCTCCGGGGCCTGGCACTACCTGAATATCTGAGACAATCAGCAGTCATAGCACAGGTGGACTAGGGTTCAAAGACAGATCCCAAGGTTTGCCCAGGAAAAAATCCCAAACCCTGGAACAAATTTGATGACCTTTTCCAGCTAAAACCAGGCTCTGTGGGCGAGCATTTACCTAGCCAAGGTCCTGGGTTCCATCCCAGCACCACGAAAAGTCATAAATAAATAAGCAGCGTAAACCAGGTTCTGTGTCTTACCAGTGTGGGATGTGCCTCCTTGGGTCCCTCTTTCACACCCTGCCCACAGCTGTGGCCATGGCTCCAGCCACCTGCACCACTGTTGCTATCATTTGCCTTTCTTTTCTTTTTTCTTTTCCTCTTTCTTTCTTTCTTTCTTTCTTTCTTTCTTTCTTTCTTTCTTTCTTTCTTTCTTTTTCAATACTAGGGATTTAACCCAGGGCCTTTGGACTGAGCTACATCCCAGCCCTTTTTTAAAATTTTCTATTTCAAGATAGAGTTTTGCTAATTTGCTAAATTGCTCAGCCCGTGATCCTCCTGCCTCAGCCTCCCAGAGTGCTGGGATTATAAGCTTCATCAGCAGGCCCAGCTTTGCAAGTGTTTCTCTAGACCAATCTGTTTTATTAGGCTAAATAAATTTATTTTTAATGAAACTATACAGTGGATAATCACACTTTCAGTCTTTCAGGGGTACTCTGAATTTTTAACAGGCAGACTTGAATTAACAAAGTCTAAACTCAGCAGTCTTTACCCTCTCATGAGCCAGACTGGGACCTTAGATTGTTCTCACTGCAACAACCACTTCTTCCCACCCCCAGATTACATATTGTCATTCTGTTTCCATCTTGGTAGTTTTTTGTTTTTATATTTGTGTTTGTGTTTCTGTGGTACTGAGGATTGAACCCAGAGCCTCATGCCTGCAGGATAAGCACTGGACCACTGAGCCACATTCCTCACTCTTTTTATTTTGAAACGGGGTTTCATTAAGTTGCTAAATTGCCCAGTCTCAGCTCCAACTTGTGATCCTCCTCCCAAGCACTTGAAATTACAGGACAGGCTGCAATGCTGCACCCCTTTGAGTTTTATGTTATTGTTGCTGTTAACTTAAAAAAAATTTTTTTTGGTCCTGGTGTGGTGGCACACACCTGTAATCCGAGCATTAGGGAGGCTGAGGCAGGAGGATGGCTGAGTTCAGACTCCCAGCCTGCTCAGCCAGAAAGGGGCTGCACAAAAGCTGAAGGAGAGGACCTGCATGTTATCACAACTGCATGGTGAGTTTGAGGCTACAGAGTGAGTTTGAGGCTATCCTGAATATACAGCAAGACCCTCAAAACAAATTAACAAAAAAAAATGTATGTGTGTGTGGTGCTGGGAATTGCACGCTAAGTACACACTCTACCGTGGGCTTCCCCCTAGCTACCCATCTTATTTTCAAACCCTAGATATAATTTATTTCTGTTGTATTTTGTGTGGTCAGTGCTTACTAAAGTTTATTCACCTTTACCTCTTTTTGTAATTCTCACCAGTGCTTTCTGCACCTCACATCTGTTCCAGAATGTTCTTGGCAGTCATTTCAGTCAGGGTCCTAAGAGCGAATGCTCCTACACATGGAAAATACTCCCAAGAAAAAAATTCCAGAAAGCTCCCCAAAACGAAGTTTGGTGTCACCACATTGGAACACTGTGCTGAGTCCACCGGAGAGCCATGGTATGCGGCTGCCCTGTAGTGCCACCCCCTGTATTTCCAGTGTCTGCATCACAGTGGGGGAACCTTCGGGCACCGTGCATCTCGTCTGAGGTCCTCACCGGATTCCTCTCTGACAGTCCACAAAGTCACCTATTGCCCTTGAGGACCTGGGATTTCACCAGCATGTGTTTAGGAACCGCCTTCTCTATATGAGCTGCTAGGGACTTACCTTTCCTGAATCGGAGAATGTCCATAGCTCATCAGTTCTGTGAAATCCTCAGGCTTGCTCCCCATATCCTGCTGCTCCCCCTTCTCTGTCTCCCCAAGACCTTGTGTGTGGTGGGCATGGGCTCTCAGCACCTCTGTGTGACCCCACGCTCAGCCTCCTGGGTCATTCTCCTCCTCTGTTCTCTCCCTGTCTCTGTGCGGGTCACACACCCTGGAGTCACTGGGACCCTTTGCTCTCCCTTATTCTCCTTATTCCTTCCCTGCCCCAGAGGGCAGGCCCTGAAAGACCCCTTACTCATTAGATGGCACACCGGCCATTTATTGATTTAATTTGGTTTTTAAAAATATCTTTTTAAAGGGCTGGAGATGTAGCTCAGTGGTGCTGCGCCTGCCTGGCAAGTGCAAGGTCCTGAGTTCAATCCCCAGTACCAAAAAAAAAATTTAAAAAAAAAATATATATATATAATCCAGAATTCCACTCAAAAAAGCTTTCCCTGAAGAGCCTCCCCAAAACAACTTGGACCCCATTTATAGCTGTCTCTTTTAGGCCACCTGTATTTTCAGTTGGCACCCAGCCTGTTTCTTTTAGGCCTGTCCCAATTTATTTTTGTCTCCATGCATACGAGCCATGCTTATTTTGATAACTGCATTTATGCTTTTGAGCTTTGACAGTCAAATCATTGCCCTGGCTTCCTGGTGGTCACAGGCTTCAGCTCACCTCCAGCCTGGAGGAGTAGCTCCCCCTCCAGCTGGCTGTGGTCTCTCCTCTGCAATTAGTTATCTAGCAGCAGAGCCTCTTGGCGGGGGGGGGGGGG